TGTCTCTCACTCACTCCCTCACTCCTCCCTGCCTCTTTCTTTCTTTCTTTCTTTCTTTCTTTCTTTCTTTCTTTCTTTCTTTCTTTCTTTCTTTCTCTCTCTCTCTCCCTCCCTCCCCCCCCTCCCTCCCTCCTTTCACATTCAAGTCACTTCTGACAACTGGACTAGTCCCTGCAAAAAAAAATTTGCCAACGTTTTCATCACTGGTTTGCTATTATCTAATATTGAAAAAGAGAATGACTGGCCCCAAGTTACCCATCTGGCTTGGTACCTAAAGCAGAACTATAACTCATGGTCTCTCAGTTTCTAGTATTGACCATTACATACCACTAAGCTGGCTTTCAACCTTCAAAGGCAAGCTGGTATAATGATTCCAGACCTATTGCTCTAAAGCAAAAGTAAAAGGTAGATCTAGTATGTGCAACTGCAGGACAGACTTCTCTGCTGCAATCAACAGAGACTTTGCTACATTGAGGAGCAATAACAGAAAATTGTGTTTTGGTTGATCTTGGCATACCTGAGGAAGGCTGGGCTTGTAGAAGCCTCACCCTGGACAACTGCACGGAAGCTCTTCCAATGCCACGGACATTGTGCATCCCTCCTGCTGCCGTTATCTTGTGCTCAGAACTGCTTTCCAGGGGATGTCGTCGAGAGGCATTGTTCTTTGGGCCCTGGAGCTGCCAGTGGGCAAGAGATGAACACACTGGTACAGAGGGTATTTCAGAGATAAGGAAATTCTTTTACCCCAACATGAATTATTAAAGCACAGGTTAGGCTCCATAAACCAAGAAAAACACTCCGAATTTCTTCTAAGCAGCTTGCTTTATTGTTCCTCACCTATACACGGAAAGTTTGCCAAACTGAAGCAGACTATTTGCACTATTAAATACAAATAAATGAATAAATAAATAAATAAAAAAACTCCTAGGGAGGAGCAGTCTTAACACTCTTCCTCCTGACCAAACTATCTAAACTTAACTGTCTCTTGTTCCTCTAGAATGCAACCCCTCCCTCTCAGGAATCCAGGCTGTGTTCCACCACACCTTCTGCATGGAAGTTCTGAGTGGGAGGATTTAGTACCAGCTGAGAACAGAGACAAGTGTCCACTGGAATGGAGATGGTGTGCCATTCCTGTACTCTTGAAAGACCTGTTTTCTGATTTGCTACAGAAAGGAAAAATGGTCAGATTGATGGCTGGACTTTACTTGAACAGAAGGCACTTGCTTCCTCCAGGTGTGCATGACTACCATAACCCTATCTAATTGATCTTACTAAGGACTGTGAGGGTTATACAGTAAGAATTCTGGTAGAAACCAGCTCAGAGGAAGTTATTCTATAACTCCTATGCTTCTGATTTTGCACCACTGTGCTTTCATTCACACTTGTCATTTACAGTATAGTTCCCAAAGTTACCCTATGCTGATCTCAGGAGAACTGTAACTAGGGAAGGGGCAATATTCATTGCACACTAACTCATTGCACTAATAATTCATTCATGCAATTTTTGAGATCTCAGAATTGAGGTGGACCTCACATGATTTGACAGCCTGCCTTTAGGAGAAAACAGGGTAAGCCTATTACCTCTTCAGATGTTTAATCAGGAGTTTATTAGGAGAAATAATTATCTTAGGGCACTGGATAGCAGAATCACTGTAGCAGAATAAGGCTTCCTAAGTGGACCTTGAAGACAGCTGCAGAAACTCAGCAACTGAGTTCTCAACAAAACCTATACTTGAATACTGCTCACCTGCCTGGAACCCACACTGCATTTCGGACATTAAAAGATTAGAGAGGGTCCAGAAATATTGTACAAGAAGAGTACTCAACTCCTCTGCTCATAATAAAATTCCTTATACCACCAGGCTTGTAATTTTAGGCCTGGATAATCTTGAACTACGCCGTCTACATTCTGACCTGAGCTTAGTGCACAAGATTATCTGCCATAACATCCTACCTGTTAAGGACTACTTTTATTTCAATGGCAATAACACAAGGGCTATCAATAGATGCAAACTAAATGTAATCCATCCTAATCTTGATTGCAGGAAAAACAATTTCAGCAATAGAGTAGTAAATGTGTGGAACACCCTACCTGATCCTGTTGTTAGTTTCTCTACCCCCCATACCTTTTACCTCAAGCTGTCTACCGTGGACCTTACGCGTTTCCTAAGAGGTCCCTAAGGGGGCGTGCATAAGCACACCAGCGTGCCTACCGTCCTTGTACTACTGTCCCCATTTATAGGTACTCTTTTATCTGTTTATCTGTTTTGCTTATTTATATCCATTTATTTGTGCCATTTTTCATGTGTCCATGTCTATGTCTATACTGATATTTGTTTCCTTGTAGTTGTTAACAAACAAACAAACAATAAATAAATAAAACTTGGATTCTGATGCAGCCTGCTAGTGAATTCCTACTTAGGCCTGATTATAGCAGAAGCAATCTGATGGAAGTTAGCTTTGGCCCTCAGCTATTGAAGGGAAACCACCAAGATACTGTCATTGATTGTTCTGCTGTGAATCTTAATCTTAGCTAGTCATACTGTTGGGACAGGGGAGACGTACCCTCTGGCCAGTAACCTCGAACGAGCGCGACCGCCGTCTCCTCCTCTTGGCCTCTAGTGATTCTTCCCTCTTCTCCATTTTCTTGCTTCCCTTTTGGTTAACCCGGAGCCAGGGACCAGGGGAGCGTCTGGGGACGTGTCTCCCAGGAGCAGTATCCCCGGTGCTGCTTGATAGATTGTCCTCGCTGATGGCATGTTGCAGGCTGGGACTGGCGGGCTGGCAGAGGGCAGGGGTTTCCCGGCAGAGGGTATCCTCGCTTTCACTGAGAGAGTGGAGGGAGAGGTTGCTGAGCTCCTTGGTTGGCTTCAGCAGGTTCAGCCTGTCGGATTCCAGCACTCGTGAACGGCGCCGGGCAGCCTTCACCGCAATGTTTTTGATGCCACTCGCCATCTCCTTGTGGTCTGCCAGGGGTGGAAGCATGTGGCAAAATTAAAAGCTTTTCCTGGGTTCCCTTTGCTAGGGTGCCAGTGGCCCGGCAGAAAAAAGGAAAAGGCAGAAAATGCCGGAAAGCAGCTTACGGTCTTTTCAAAGTGGGTGGGAGGCCCTCATTGCGTTGTCTTTTTCTGATCTGATGCAGAGGTGGTATTCAGAAGGTTCTGACCAGTTCTGGAGAACCGGTAGTGGAAATTTTGAGTAGTTCAGAGAACCAGTAAATATCACCTCTGACTGGCCCCACCCCCATCTATTCTCTGTCTCCTGAGTCCCACTGTTCGGGGGGAAAAGGAGATTTTTCAGTAACTTTCCCCTGGGGTGGGGTGGGAATGGAGATTTTACAGTATCCTTCTCCTCCCACGCCCACCAAGCCACACCCACCAAGCCACATCATGTCCACCAAGCCACACCCACAGAACCGGTAAGTAAAAAAAAATTGAATCCCACCCCTGATCTGATGGGTAACTGGGAAGAATGAGGAGGCAGTAAGAGTTCCCAGTAAGTCAATAAAATAGGCCTCAGCTGCAGACTGTTAGCAGCCTAACTACTCATGGAGCTCCATGAGGAAACACAGAACCTTTACATATTTAATGATAGGATTTGCATCCTGCCTTTATTTTGTACAACTCAAGGCAGTGTACCTAATGTCCCCGCCTATTTTCCCCGCCTATTTTTCCCACATGAGCTGAGAGAGAGTGATTGGCCCAAAGTCATCCAACTGGCTTTCAGGTTCAAGGGAAGACTAAAACTCATGATCTCCTGGTTTCCAGTCTGGTACCTTAACCACAATGTCAGCTTGGCTCTCAATAAATATCTTGCATACGCTGTATCTCACCTCCATGCATCAAGATGCCATCAGAACAGTGATCGCTGCTGTCAGGGGAAGAATTCTGGTGGCTGCCCAGGATAAGCAAACTTTCCTGGGGTGTATACTGTGAAGAAGAAAGGAGGCAGGCCATGTTAAATTATACAGAGCTTTCCCAGAATGTTATAGGTCCTCTGCTAGTGAAGTGGTGAGATCATGTTTGAAGCAAACCACCAAATGCATGTCAACCCCCCTTTTCTCTACTTTTCATACCTCTTGAGTGATCATGCCATTGACATGGATAGGGGGTGGATTCATCACGGCTGAATGCTTCATCTGCCGAGCCCGAGAACTCGCCTTGAACACCTGAACTGCTTCACTGTTGAGAAAAGAAAGATAAGTATCTGCTGATTCCAGCACAGCACTAGGCAAACAGTCCTCACGTAGCTCCAAACTCCCTTTTTATGGGCTGCTGAACCTCCACCCCAACAAATTTAACTGCCAAGACTGCTAAAAATCAACAGCAGGATGATTTTTAAAGGGAAAACTCACAACAACCATGCTATAAGTTCTAACAAGGCTTGAAGAAACAACTCTGAAAATAAAATCCCTGTCCTGTATGTGTATATGATGCACTCCTATCCATTGGGAGATCTGGTCTGAATTAGATCTGATGAATATCCTGATATTGTGACTGAATGGGCTTGGTTGGTAGTTGTTTTTAACCCATTCTCCCAACCTTAAAAAAAGAGGAAGTGGGTCTTCACGACAAACCATTTCAAGAGAAGTGGGGCTGCATATGGGTAGAATAGAATAGAATAGGAACAGGAACAGGAACAGGAACAAGCATAGAATAGAATAAAATTCTTTATTGGCCAAGTGTGATTGGACACACAAGGAATTTGTCTTTGCTGCATATGCTCTCAGGGTATATAAGGAGAATAAAATAGAATACATTAATGAAGAATCATAAGATACAACACTTAGTGATAGTCATAGGTTACTAATAAGCAATCAAATCATACTAGGAAACAAACACAACAATCTAAATTGTAAAAATGCAAACAACATGGTTATAGTCATAAGTGGGAAGAGAGAGGTACTAGGAAAGAGATAGGTACTAGGAAGGATGAGTAGAATAGTAATACAGTCTTAATAAATAGTTTGACAGTGCTGTGGGAATTATTTGTTAAGCAGAGTGATGGCATTTGGGAAAAAAACTGTCCTTGTGTCTAATTGTCTTGGTGTGCAGTGCCCTATAGAATCATTTTGAGGGTAGGAATTGAAACAATTTATGTCCAGGATGTGAGGGGTCTGTAGCAGTGGTGGATTACAGGCAGTACTCCCCAGTACGTGTGTACGGGAGCCTGCCTGGAGCACCAGATACTGTTTTGGTATGGGACTACAGAGGGCCCACCTGCCCGCCTGAGCTCCTTACTGGTCTTTTAAGTCTTTGGTGCTTCTGTACACGTGCATGGCCCATACAGCACCTGCGCAATGCTCCACTGAGCAGCTGGAGCGTTGCAGAGGCTTGTGGAGGCAGTAAAACGCATATGCGTGCTGCACACATGTGCGCATGCGCTACGCGTGTCCATGTGGACGCCGCCGGACTTGTTCCAACCGTACTGGTTGGAACGGGATCCGGAACCTATCACTGGTCTATGGATATTTTGACAGCCCTCGTTAAGGGATTGAAAAAGAAGGAAAACAATGTTTAAGACAAAGTAAGAGCAGGGAGGCCGAGAGCAGTGATGGAGAGAAACTTGAAAAGAAAAACACGACAGCTAAGAAAATGAAAGACAAAAGAGGGTGGAGAATATCTGAATGCCTGTGGAAATTTGCACTCATTCTCTTAACTTGGCTTTGGTTCCAGGAAGCCTTTCACGCCTTTCACTCCAGAGTTTTCAAAGCCCCATGTTTCATACCCGTAGTCCTCATCTTAACAACAGCTCATTTAGTGACCATTCAAAGTTAAAACAGCACTGAAAAAAGTGACTTATGGGCATTTCCCCACCCTTACAACCATTGTAGCATCTCCATGGTCCTGTGATCAAAATTCAGCTGCTTGGCAACTGACTCGTATTTATGAAGGCTGCAGTGTCCCTGGGAGTGTGCGATCCACTTTTGTGATCTTCTGACAAACAAAGTCAATGGGGAAGCCACATTCACTTAAAGAACACTGTTACTAACTTACTAACTGCAGTTATTCACTTAAACAACTCTGGCAAGAAAGACTGTTAAATGGGGCAAAACTCACATAAGAACTGTCTCACTTGGCAACAGAAATTTTGGACTCCACTGTGGTCATAAGTCGAGGACTACCTGTATGTTGTGCGTAAACTGTCAAAATTGGAATGCCACTCTTCTACCTCCCTTTTGAAGAGTACCGAACAGTTCTTACCTGTCTGATGCTGGAACAAGGGGTGGGAGGGTAGTCTTCCGAGAATCCCGCCAAGGCAGCTGCTGACCCTCAGAACCTAACGTCTTGACGCTCTCTTGGTCCGAGTCCAGAATGTTTTCTGCAAGGAGCTGGGGAAGCTTTGGCACAGAAGTCTCCTGCATATAAACATTTTCTTCATTTTAACTGTTTTTATATTTATCTTTTTACCATTTTGTCAGTCACCCAGAGGTACCTTATTGATGAGTTGGGCAGCATATAAGAATAGAATAGAATTCTTTATTGGCCATGTGTGATTGGACACACAAGGAATTTATCTTTGGTGCATATGCTCTCAGCGTACATAAAAAGACAAGAGACATTTGTCATGAATCATGAGGTAGCAACACTTAATGATAGTCATAGCAGAGGTGGGTTTGTACTGGTTCGGCAGAGTAGGTACTAACTCGGCCTGCCATGTCCCCAAACCGGTTCTATCGGCGGCGGGACCAACTTGATTTTTAGTTCTTCCCCATGCGCAGAACAATCTTCATTGCAAAAATTAATTTTTTCCCCGTTTTCTAACGTGCGCATGCGCAGAACTTTTTAGGTGCAAATGCGCACACACGCTGAACTGTCAGTAATGCCAGTAGAAACGCACTCCTGAGACATAGGGTTTAAATAAGCAATCAAATCATACTAAGGAACAATTACTATAAATCGTAAGGATACAAGCGACAAAGTTAGTCATACCGTCATAAATGGGAGGAGATGGGTGATAGGAACGATGAGAAGATTAATAGCAGTAGTAATGCAGACTTAGTAAATAGTTGGACAGTGTTAAAGGACTTACTAAACTTACTAAATTAAAAAAAACTACCGGTAAATAATAAAACAAAGAAATAAGTGAATAACAATTTGGAATGAAATGAAAATGGGTCTAATGTAGAAGAAGTATTTTGGAAATTTTTCTGGGAACAATAGTGAAGGGTGGAATTGAAATGAATGCTACAAAGGTTAATGTCCAAGAAAAAAAGATGGATGAAAAAGAAGTCACAAATCCTGTGAGAATGTTGAAAAACTCTACGGCTCCAGGTGTAGATAATGGAAATGTCAAAATAAGGAAATGGTTTGTTTATATGCAACAAACACATAATGCGATTATTATTGTTCATTGTGTGTGTAAGAAGACCCATCTGTTCTTGACCATGGGAAAATACTGTCCCTGGGGAAAAGTTAGTAGCTGAATGAAAAAAAAATACATGTTTATTTGTTAAATATGTCTAGGAAGATGTTTGACAGAATTCTAATCAAAATGGTAGGAGAGGTAACAGTGTGATAAATCTAGGAAGTCTAATAGGGGTTTATGCAGGGCAGAGGATGCACATGCCAATTTTTTTATTTTTCAGCAAATCACTGAGAAATGTATGAATGTGAGATAGATTATTGTACAATGATTGATTTAGCAAATGCATATGATAGGTGCCTTAGGGCTTGGGCCTCTTGATCGCCTCTTCTCTTTAACATCTACATGAAACTGTTGGACAAAGTCATTTGATGGCAGGGGTGTAGTATTATCAGTCAATTGGCATCCTTCAGTCTAAAAAGACTATGGTATCGTGCTCTGGAAAGAGGTCCTAACGCAGCATCTGGTGTGGCTAAAAAGTCTAATCCGGGAGTGGCAATCCATTCCACACGGAGGGAAGATACATTCTGAACCCTGCCCAGCCCCCAAATTTTACTGGTTCCAGGACAGCCTCTTTGCCTCAGCCTGCCGAACAAGTGTCTCTTCGAATTGGAGAAGGCCATGCTGTGTCTTTAGCCTTGACATCTGAATGATCAGAGGTCAAGGTTTCCCAGCTGTTATTGTCTATTCTCAAGGTCTTTTGATCTCTCTTGCAGATATCCTTATATCTCAGCTGTGGTCTCCCTCTGGGGTGCATTCCCTGCACTAATTCTCCATACAGGAGATCTTTTGGAATCTGACCATCAGCCATTCTCATGACATGCCCAAACCAGCGTAGATGTCACTGTTTCAATAGTGTATACATGCTAGAAATTCCAGCATGTTCAAAGACTGCGCTATTTGGAACCTTGTCATGCCAGGTGATGCCAAGGATACATCAAAGACAGCGCATATGAAAGGTGTTCAACTTTCTCTCCTGCCATACGTAAAGGGTCCAAGACTCACTACAGTAGCACCAGAGTGTGCTCAGGATGCAGGCTCTGTAGACCTGGATCTTTGTATGTTGCGTCAGCTTCTCATCTTTGTATGTTCTGGAGGCTGGGAGGGTTTGAATGGGAAGGAACTGGCTCCAGCTCAACTCTGGAAAGATGGAGTGGCTTTGGCCCTCAGGGTCTGGTCATAAGTCATCTTTCACAATGGGTGGGGTTACATTTCCCTGGGCCGAACTGATCTGCGATTTAAGGTTATTGCTAGCTTCACTGTTCCTGCTCAAGGAGCAGATGACTGTCAAGGCTGGGGAGGGGGAAATCTGGACAATCAAAAAGCATCTTTTCTGAAACGTCTTACCATTCCCTCTTACAGAACAGTAAGAAATTTATCATGATTCCTTTCTTGTTATATCATGTTTTCCATCTCGTTGGCTCCTGTGCTCTCCATAACGTTGCTTATCTTGAAAGGGATAATTGAACGTGATAGACATGCATCCAATAAGGGGGAAAAACAATTCAGTAATAGTTTTTGTGTCCAACATTTATAGAAGTTGACATGAAGAGATTTTCAGGGTGTTTTAACAGGATTTTTAAAAATCTATACATTCTTTGCTTTGCCTTGCCTTTTATTGGAAAAACTGATTGGTTTCTTGATACTCAGGAGGTTTTTTTTTCCGGATGCATCGTTAAGTGCAATAATAGGTTCAAGAATAAAATGAGAAGTGAAATTAGCTTTTCACTCAATATTCAGAAGAAAAAAATGTGACAGACAGTAGAAGAACGAATGAACTGTAAAATTGACATTTATCACGGAATCTAAATGACTTACTGGAAAGGGTGATGGGCAACTTGGACCCGAGGGCCTTCCCTTTCCTTGATTTAAAAGTCTACCCTGACCCCATACTGCATTTTCTCTATCCAACAAGGTTGTAAGAGCAATGATGGCACAGTGGTTAGAAGGCAGAATTGCAAGCTGACTCTGGCCATTGCCAGCAGTTTGATCCTGACCGGTTCAAGATTGACTCAGCCTTCCATCCTTCTAAGGTGGGTAAAATGAGGATCCAGATTGTTGGGGGCAATACACTGACTTTATAAACCGCTTAGAGAGGGCTGTGAAGCACTAGAAGGTGGAATATAAGTCTAAGTGCTACCCTGTCTCCCTGAAAATAAGACCTCCCTGGATAATAAGCCCAATCGAGCTTTTGAGTACATGTGCTAAAATAAGCCCTCCCCCCAATGTAAGCCCTTCTCCAAAATATTGCAACACAGCAGCAGCCATGAGGTGACCACGCTTGCCACCTCCTTCACCTCAAAAATAATAAGACTTCCCTGAAAATAAGGTCAAGTGTTTATTTCGGGGATCAAAAGAAAATAAGACTCTGTCTTATTTTCATGGAAACACAGTATTGCAATTGTCACTCTCTGCATAATAGGACGCCTAGGTTTCCTCTGCTGGTGCAGACAGTTTGGTCTAAATGTGGATACTGCTGAGGCCCAAAGATATTACTTTTGGGTGAGGTGAAAGGATTTCAGCAATGAGAACATCAATGTACCTTAAGAGCTCTAACAGTTGCTTGATCCATGACTGCCATTCGATCTAAGGCCCCTTCTTCCAGCTCATGCAAGTAAACCTGATACAGTTCCTCCAGATGGGATGGCACCACTAGGTGAGACTCTGGCAATGAGAAGGGCAAGCAGAAATGAGGTCACATAGGAGAGGCAAACAGACCACAGAAGCTTCAACACTGGTCTACAACTGAGATGGCAATCCCTTGTAGTATGAAGGGAATGGGACAGATGCTATGGTTAGGAAGGTATTAGAAAGACACCAAATACTTTTGATGAGAAAAGCATCAATGCCATGATTGAATAAGCTAAGACAGGGTGACAAGCTGCAAAATAATCTTTGGGTCGCACACTCATGACTTGTATGTGGCCCTTCAGGATGATTTTATATAGCCAGCATCAATAAAGATAAACCAGAAAAAAAACCACCCCTTGTTTACATATAGACAAGTACAGCAACTAAAATGCTCCATTAAGTTCTATACTGTTTGCTCCTAAGGCTACTTACTCACTAGAGATTTGAAAAGACTTCACTACTGCAATTTTCAAGTTAATGAACTAGTGTTGATGCTTCTCCCATTAGGTTTTGAGTTTGAGACTCCTGAGCATAATACTATGGGAGGCCACAAAATTATGAGGCAAAAAGGTTTTACTATTACATTTGAGAGAGGCCATCAATAGATTATAAGCAAAGGTAAGGCATGTGAATCTGAAAGAAAGGATAGAGACCTCTATTGTACCTCAGAGAAGTCTGGGAAAGTAGATGATTATTATATAACATCTTTTATTTTCTTACACACAACTTCCTCGATGCAAGAACTGGGATTACAGAGCCCTGCCTCTACCACATTATATCAAGAATGTATGTGTGTATGTGTGTATATCCCTGTGCCCATGACATGCACCCATCCATCCATCTCCCTCCCTCCCTCTACCGACCTATCTATCTAATCTACCTATCTACCTAATCTACCTACCTACTTATCTACCTACCTATCATCTGTCTGTCTGTCTACCTAACCAACCAACCAACCAACCAACCAACCAACCAACCAACCAACCAACCAACCAACCAACCAACCAACCAACCAACCAACCAACCAGTAAATCTACATCAGTTCTCCTCCACTGGGTATTAGAATCCAACACCTCTGGAGGGCACTAAATTGTGAAAAACTGATTTGCAATAGGCAATGTAGGTAGTCATACCATGAATTATATGTCGTTGTTCTTGGATGATGCGGTGACAAAGGCTGCGATAGCGCTCAAAGCGATGCACAGCTCTCTCCTGATGACGGATGAAGTTGTCCTTGAGAAACGTACTCGACTGTACGGTTGTATTCTCCACTTCCAGTTCATGTACCTTACACAGCAAACTCAGAACCTCCCTCTGCTCTTCTGAGCTAATGCACCACGGCAAGGTCTCCTCTAGCCGCTGCCCACGCTGCCGTATTTCCCAGAAGCGCCTTTCCAGCTCTGCCTGGCACAGAGAAGAGGTACAGAGTCACAGAGCCAGTGAAAGCCATGGATAGCAGATGGGAGGAATGTTGCTGATTGCAGACTGCTTCACTCTATAAAGTTGCAACATCCCCATTCTCCCTTCCCTCCCTTCCTTTAGCTAATATTCTGTTCACCCCACCGGCTTTTGACACCTTCTGCTTATGAAGTTTATCCTGCTCCCCCAGGAGAATAGCGATGTGTTCCCGAGCTGCTGCCACTTCCTGTGGCTCTGGCACATCCGAGAGTTCATCCCCAGTGTCAGAGTCCTTCTCGTTTTCATCTTTGTTGTAACTTTCTTTTCTTTGCTCCTCTCGCCACTTTTGTGCTCGACGTGTCTTCTCCTGTTCCCAACTGCAAAGGGGAGGGGGGAGAGAGAGAGAAGGGAAGGAAGAAAGGTTGAAGAAATGCCTCATGGTCAAGAGCCAGCAAATGACAGGCAACTGGCACATCTGGTCTAATCTCTCAAAATAAGCTGATGGAAAACAGTGAATTGCACAACCAAGGTCCTAGGAAGGTGTCCTGTTTGTTCTCTACTGTCTGCTTACTCAGCAATGGTAAGGAGATGGCGAGAGCTCTCAATCTGTATCTCCATGTAATTATTCTCCAGCTCCATGAGGTGGCGACGCACATCCATCTGTTCCCGAAAGGTGTTGATCAGCTGTTCCCGGAGCTGATCCATCTCCTGCCTCTCAAAGTGATTCCCACGGAGCTGTACTTCAGCTATACAGAAGGTGGAGAAAAGAAGTGTAACTGATACGGGAAATCCAACCAAAGTGTTAAGAGACAAGAAGCTACAGAATAGCCAAGTTTTTGCTCCCTTTCTTCCATGCCTTTCTATTTCAACCATGTGTCTAATTGCCTGCATCTGACTTTTACAAAACTTTCGGATGCCTCATCAAACCAGGAGATCCCTTTGCAATCTGTAAGACAAAAATATCAACCTTACCCAATCCATGACCCACCCACACACATACATACATATACACACACATACATATTTCATATTTCCCCTTTCTTCGTTTTCTACAGGTGTCAAGATGCCATGGCAGTGATATTTCTGGAATGCTTGAGGAATGGGTAATATAAGACTTTAAACTAAATTGTGCTTGATCAAGTGAAAAGCCTGTATCTTTTAGTGTCCAGTTTATCATAGTGGCCAAGCAAGTATCAACAAGGACAATCACAAGCAGGATGTGACCAATGGCATCTCTTGCTAATGTTCCTTAGCAATTAGGCATTATACAAAGGAACATCACTTCTAACAATAAAAATAATGCATAGCTGTGCATCAAAGTGATATGCCTCTGTATAATGCCTAATTGCTAAGGAACATTAGCAAGAGGTGCCATTGGTCACATCCTGCTTGAGGTTTTCCTGGTGGATACTTACTTGTCTGTAGGATTCTTGGAAGATGAAGCTATCCACACTTCATATATGGATAACCTCATCTTCCAGGCATCTTCTACAGTTATCTTCATGCTATCGCAGCAACTCAGCCTACCTTGAATACTCCGGATGTCCGACCGCATTGGACGGGGCTCTTGTTGCTCAATTTTGCATTGCAACCGGTGAATTTCACGATGGAGTTCAGCAATGATACTTGTGTACTGAGCAATGTGGTAGGAGACGTTCAGATGGTTGCGCTTCACCTGTCAGGCGAGAGTGAGAGAGAATTACACCGAACAAATGTTGTGTGTGCAAGGAGACTCTGACAGCATCCAAGACTGGTTAATTATTTAAGGCTCATCAATCCAGAGTCTTACAACAATTAAACACTTCATTGTAGTGAGTAAAGAGAATGGCTTTGAAGAATAGAGAAAAGATCCATGACCAAGGCAACAATCAGATAAATAAGACTTAAAACTCAGGCTAGAAAAGTAAGTTTGAAAGGATCTAAGAACCGGTTCCACCACAAAACCACGTTCGACTAAAGGGCGCTCGACGAAACCGCGTAGCTGACGTCATCACAGGGCGACAACAGCACGGAGACAGAAGCACGCTGTAAACGCTAAACCTAAAATTAACCCCTAAACCTAAACCTAACCCCCCTAAACCTAAACCTAATCCTAAACCTAACCCTTAACCTAACCCTAAACCTAACCCTAAACCTAACCCTTACCTTAACTTGAAACCTAACCCTAAC